CCCTAGCTGGGTGGGTGGGTGGTGGTGAAGTAACTGGTGCTGAAGCCGATGGCTGACTCCTCTTCTGAGATGAACCCGCAAGACGACGAGGACACTACCTCCACATATGACCCATCTCTCCACACTCATAGCAACTCCCGGTGTTGGAGAAGGGGACTGAAGAGAACCCCTAGCACCGGAGTGACTAGCAAATGCACCTGGCATAGAAGAGCCCTGAACTGATAGAGCACGGGACGAACTCTGAACTGGAAGGGCTTTAAGTGATGACTGACCCTGATGAGAACTGTGAGAACCATGACCCGACGACGCCCCACGATAACCTGGGCAAGCTAGCTGAGCATGCCTAACGGGACGACCTCCGCCGTGCTGAAACTGACCTCTCGAAGAAGCACCACTATAACTACCAGATCCTCGAGGCCTCTTGGCCACCCTCTCCTCTCGCTCCTGGCGACGAACAGACTCAATCTCACGAGCAATGTCCACAACCTCCTCGAAAGTCGCACCAGTCACCCTCCACTACTAGAAAAATGCAAATTTCCCAGGAAAATTTCCCACTAATATATTATTAGTGGCAGTTCCCACTGAAATATAAAAAAATCTAGTGGGAAATGGAAAAGATTTCTTTTACCTTTTTTTTAAAAACGTTCCCACAAACTATAGGTGGAAACTAGTTGGCGCAAAAAAGCGCGCAATTTGTTTCCCACCGAATCAGTGGGAATATCATTAAAAATAAAATTATTAAATTATACCCAGTGAAACGGTAGGAATTCGGATAAAAAATTAATTTAATATTTCCCACACTGATGCAGTGGAAAGCTCAAAATTTCCAACTTTGGCAAAAACCGCGAGCTTAAAAAAAATTTCACCAAATATACCCAGGGAATCGTTGGGAATGTCTTTCCATTAGGCGTATATCCTTATTTTTCTTCTCTTTTAATTTTCACTCTCATTCTTCTCTCTCTCTAGTTCTCTTGGCTGAAACCTCCATTCTTGCCCTAGAGCTTTCACTCATGCAAAATCACAGGTAAGTGGCGCCTCTCTCTTTCTCTCTCGCTATCCCCCCCCCCCCCCCCCCTTTCTTTCTTCCTTTTCTGATTTTACCCTAAATGCCTAAAAACCTAGGGTTCCTCCATGCCTGAAAATCTAGCTTTTGTGTGTATGTTTGTGTGTGTAGTATGGTTCTTGGGTCCTGAGTTCATAGACCTATTTGAATTTTTCTTCTCCTTTCACTTTAATTTTAGAGGATTATTATTAGATTTTGAACTAGATTTAGATTTACGAATCCTGAAAGAATTTTTCTTCGATATTGGATGTTAAGTAAAGGTTTATATAGCTGGGAGGCTGCAATCTGTATGAAAGTTACAGTATCGATAAGAGCTATGCTGGTGTACTCAAGCTGGGACTGAAGTTAATTTCTTTATAACCCATTATATAGTTCAGGATGTCAAATTAATTCTGATGAAGAATCAAAATACTTGCAGGCCTAATTTCCTTAAAAATAAAGCACCAAAACTTTTTGTTCTCAATATTTAGCCAAACTTGTTTTCTGGTTGGTATTGTTGTTGAAATAAAAGAGCAGCTCAAAAAGATTAGCTACTGCAATCTCCTCACAATCCGTTCAAGAATTACTACAATATGTTGTAAAGTTACCTTCAATTATTCAAAACTAGAGCAATCCATTCAAATAATATATACTAGTTAAAAAGCTATGATATTTAATAGCTCGGAGCCCATGTATTCTTTGGTGGATAACAATATCCTACAGGAATTCAATGAGTATTAACAGATCTTTGGAATGTTTCTCCTTCCAAGTTATAATATAAAGTGAATGTGTATCTCTCGTTGGGTGGGGATGTTT